TTGTTCTCTGCATTGGCTCTTGATCATATGCTTGAAATGGTTGAACACTGACCATTTCTTTTTAGTAAAATGACTCTGTATTTCTTCCATCTTCTTTCTCCATCATTCAATATTTTGCCCGTAGAATCCTTCCATATTTCAGGTTGAGGCTTGAATTTTTTTTCTTTCAGCTTCAGTATAGCTGAGTATGTTCTTCCCTTTTAGTTTTCTAATTCCAGGTTTTTGCACATTTTATTATAATACTTGACTTTATCTTCTCAATCTACTCTTTGAAAAATTCTGTTCTGCTCTTTTACCTCATTTCTTCCATTCATTTTAGTATCTCTACACTGGAGAGCTCTGTTAGCATAGTGGTTACGAATTGGGCTGCTAATCTCACGATCAGCAGTTCGAAATTACCAGTTCTTCTGCGGGAGAAAGATGACGCTTTCTGCTACTGTAAAGATTTACAGCCTCGGAAACCCTGTACAGGGTTTCTAGGAGTCGGAACTGACTCCATGGCACATAACAAAAACAATGCTGGAGAGCAAGTTTCGATTTGATCTTTGCCTTCTTTTTTGTCTTCTTAATGACTTTTGCTTTCTTCCTGATGTCATCCCACCAACTCTTCTGGTCTTCAGTCATTAGTGTCTAATGCATCAAATCTGTTCTTCAGATGATCTCCAAATTCAGGTGGGATATATTCAAGGTCAGGTTTTTGCTCTTGTGGATTTGTTTTCACTTTCTTCAGCCTGAATTTGCACATGAGCAATTGATGGTCTGTTCTAGTCTGTCTTTGGCCTTGTTTTGGCTTTTCCACAGATGAAGTCAATTTGATTTCTGTGTATTTGTTTTAGTGAGGTCCATGTGGTACTCATCTTTTATGTTGTTTAAAAAAGGTGTTTGCAATGAATAATTCATTGGTCTTGCAAAATTCTACCATGCAACTTTAACCATCATTTCTATCAAGGCCATATTTTCCAACATTCACATTTCAATCACCAGTAATTATTAATACATCTTGATTGCATATTTGATCAATTTCAGACTGAAGAAGTCATCAGAACTCTTCTATTTCATCATCACTGACTTAAGTGGTTGGTGCATAAATTTGAATAATACTGGTATTAGCTTGTCTGCCTTGTTGTTAAGCGATCGAGTCAGTTCCAACCCATAGCGACCCTCCGTAGGGTTTCTAAGGAGCAGTTAGTGAGCTTGAACCACCAATCTTGAGGTTCAAACTGACTTTGCAGTCCAGTGCATTAGCCCACAGCGCCACACCAGGACTTTTAGGTGTACGGGTGTTGTTCTATCACAGACAGCATTATACTTCAAAAGACAGATCTTGAAATTTTCTTTTTGATGATGAATGCGATGTCATTCTTCTTCCATTTGGCATTTCCAGCATAGTTAATTATATGATCATCAGATTCAAAATGACCAATACCTGTTCATTTCAGCTCACCAATGTCCAGGCTATACATCTTTATGCATTCCATTTTGTTTTTTACAACTTCCAATTTTCTTAGATACATACTTCGTACATTCCATATTCTGAGTATTAATGGATATTTACAGCTATTTCTCCTTGTTCTGAGTTGTGCCCCGTAGGCAAATGAAGGTCCTGAAGGCACTACTCCACTCATGTGATCACAATCAACTCTAAGGAGGCAGCTCTTCTCCACTTGGGGCTCTTCTGGCACTAATCTGACCATATGCTGGTGCTCTTCATTGTGTTTCATTATTTAATAGTCGGGTGCTATCTGACAGCAGATTCCAATGCTATCCCTAAGGTTTTCAGTGGCTAAACATTCAGAAGTAATCTGCCTCTCCTCCTTCCTAGTCTGTCTTAGTCTGGAAGCTCAGCTGAAACCTGTCCACCTTGGGTGACCCTGCTGGAATTTAAAATACCAGCAACACAGCTTCCAGAATCATAGCAACGCGCAACTCACCACAGTAGGACAAACTGACTGACGGTGACAGCTCAGATACTGAATAGAATTGCTGAATGATCGATTCCTGCACCTAAATAACACATCTGAATTAACTAGTTCAGCAAAGAAACAAAAAACAAAATCGTGTGCGTGTATAAACACCTGGCAAAATGTTAACAGGTGAAGGATAAACAGGTGATCCTTGGACTATTTTAGCAATTTTTCTGATGTTTTAACAAATAAGCTGGGGATAAAAAGAAGATCCCATTTACATTCAGTGTGACTAGAAATGCCCTTCCTGGGAAGAAGGCTCAGGAATGAACAATGGTTCCCATAATACTAACCGCTCTAATAAGTCAGCTTAGAAGTATGGTCCCCCTGGTCAGGCAGGGGATGCTGTGTTCTACAGTCACCTAGGACCCCAGGGTGACAGCAGTGAGCGAGGAAAAAAGGGGGCAGGGGATCGAATCTTTCTGTTTGGCTATTGAAGGAAAATTGAGTTTCCAATAAACTTACACCCACCCTATGACTCAGGCTTTCCACCCCTAGGAAAAGGAACTCATCCAAAACCCTGTCGTTGGGGGTGTCTTTCCTCTTAGGTGAGGGCTGAGGCATGTGTGCCATGTCAGGGTCCCAAGGGTGGGAATGGCAGTACTGGGTGCAGGGGTGTGGGGTCCTGTGGGTGGGCACGCACCTGGCAGGTGGGACTCACCCTTCCTCAGCTCCAGCTGCTTATGTTCCCAAAGACTCACAACCCGGGGAGGCCAAGCAGGGCCAGCTGTTGGCTCCCACGGCCATGGGTCATCTCAGGCCTAGGGTTGCTGGGCGGTGGGGGGTGTGTGTGTGTGTGTGACCCCCTTCCCAGCAGCCTGTGCTCTTGCCCACTGACCGTCTCGTTCCTCAGCACATGCCTGGGTGTGTGGGGTCTACAGGAGGGAAGCTCAGCCTCACCCCAAACTTTCTCCCACACTGTAACTGGGCAGGTCTCCCTGCCCCTACCCTGCCCCACCTCCTTCAGCAGTACTCACTGGGGTGATGCTGGGCCTCCTGGCTGATCAACAGCCTGTCTTCCCAGGATGCTCCTGCTTGCCTGGTGTCTGGTGCAGGTGGTCACAGTCCAGTGACCGCTGAGTGCTGAGCTGGCCCTTCGCTGTACCTCCTTGGTCATCCCCAAGGCAGGCAGGGGGAGCATCCAGGCACCGGCCATGTGTGCTCCATGCCACACATCTCCTGACCACACTGCCCTGTGGAATTTGAAATAACAGACTGAATTATTGGTCCAGGGTCCAGACCTTGAAGGTTGAAGCTGTGACTCAAACGTAGGGCTTCTGAGCAAGTCAGAGGGGCCTACCTGCAGCCCCCAGACCCCTCAAGAGGCAGGGCCTAGAGTCCACCAAGTTGTCCCAATCCCTTCCTCTTGGCTGTGGGTCAAGGGTCACCTTACTCAGCCGCACACTTGCTCTAGACACGGGCCCTGAGCGGAGGCCAGCTGCTGCCATCCCAGGCTCAATTGCCAGCTCAGCCCAGGTAGTTCCCGCCCTGTGGGCACACTCCCAGGAGAGGCAGGATCACCCCAAGGCCTCCCGATAGCAGCCTGGCCCTTAGGGTATATAACGGGGAGTCCCCGGGCACTAGCCCCACAGCTCCTAACAGCAGCACCATGACCTTCCTCTGGTTCCTCTCCTGCTGTGCCCTCCTGGGCTCTGCCTTCGGTGAGTGCTAGACTCGAGCAAAGGCCTCAGAGCTTCTTCCCCAGCCCCGGCCATGTGCTGTGTCCCTGCTCCCAGGTCCACAGGACCACTGTTCTGCCCAGAGAGTCACGGGCCTCATCTCTACCATGGGACGATGGCAGGACTGGACCTGATGTGGCCTTCCCCAAGGGCTGCCCTAAGGCCTTGACACCCTCCACAGGGGTCAAAAATGCTCTATACCCGCGGTGACTTCTAAGCAGGCTGAGACGGGGAGCTTGGCCCCAAGACCCCTTTTGGGATGTGGAGCCCAGCCTTGCGTTCATGGGTACCTTGAGCAGAGACAGCCTCTGCCTACTAACTCTCACCCAGGAAGCCTCATGTGAACTTGGCAGCTCGTGATCCCCACTTCGCTGATGGGAACACTGAGATTTCACTGGGCCCAGAATCAAATGCACAGAGCTCAGCCCTCGTCCTGTTTTGGGCCCCACAGCCCACCTCACAAGGCCGGTTCTGTAGATCTGGGCTGAGCCCAGGGCTGATGTGTTGCCCTGGGCAGATTCCAGACCTGGGGTGGGCGAGGCAGGGCTGGTTCCTCAAAGGTGGCTCCCAGAAGCCGAAAAGGAAGGACCTGGGTGGACAGGCCCAGAGCTGACCTTGGCCTGACCCTTTCACTCCCTGCCTCCACCCCTAGGCTGCGGGGTCCCCGCCATCCACCCTGTACTCAGCGGCCTTTCCCGCATTGTCAATGGGGAGGACGCTGTTCCCGGCTCCTGGCCATGGCAGGTTTCCCTACAGGTGAGGACCTGTCCTCATCCTGAGGCAGTGCGCAGAGAAATGAGAGGGGGGCGGCGGGGGCAGCACCCTGGGTTAAGAGCTGGGGGCGTCTGGCCTGCGCTGACCCTCCCCCTTCCTCCCCAGGATAGCACAGGTTTCCACTTCTGCGGGGGCTCCCTCATCAGTGAGAACTGGGTGATCACCGCTGCCCACTGCAGCGTCAGGTGAGGCCTGGGTCTGCAGGGCCATGCTTGGGGTGGGAGGGAGGACCCCCCAGTACTGAGGAAGAGTCCCCTGACTCCTTGGAGGCTCAGTTCCCTCCCTGGTCATTTCCCATGGCTGCAAGTGCAGTTGGTGGTGTTTTGAGCTCAACAGGGTACATGTGCATACACCCAGGCTCGCCCAGAGAGCACATGAACACACAGACAGAAGCGCACATGTGGGCTCACCTCATGGCAGGCACTCCCCCCCCCCTTTCTCTGACCCTCTCCAGAACCTCTCACCTGGTTGTGGCTGGCGAGTTTGACCAGGGTTCAAATGACGAGGCCATCCAGGTGCTGAAGATTGCCCAGGTATGATGGCAGCGGGAGCGGGCCAGGTGTGCGCCCTGGGTGGGGGAGGGCTCTCGGGAGGGCACAGGCCAGGGTGAGCCGGGCTGGCTGGCACAGGAAGCCAGACCCCTCCCTCCCCCAAGCCCTTCCAGAGCCCCCCAGTACTCCCAGTTAGACAAGACAGCAGAGCAGGGAGCAAGGTGAAGGGGCCCTGTGGGTGAAGATGCCGGAAAGCCATGCACTTCAGGCCAGGCCACCACAGCTCCCACTGCACCCGTCTGCCTCAACCCACAGGTCTTCAAGAACCCCAAGTTCAACATGTTCACCATCAACCACGACGTCACCCTGCTGAAGCTGGCCACGCCCGCCCGCTTCTCCCAGACCGTGTCCTCCGTCTGCCTGCCCAACCAGGGCGACGACTTCCCCGCCGGCTCCCTCTGCGCCACCACTGGCTGGGGCAAGACCAAATACAACAGTGAGTCCGCGACCGGCTGGGGGCGAGTGGGAGGTGCAGGCCGCCCAGGCAGCACGGGACTGTGGGCGCTGACCCCCACTCTGCCCTTCCAGACCCCAACACCCCCGAGCGTCTGCAGCAGGCCACCCTGCCCCTCCTGTCCAACGCCGAGTGCCAGAAGTACTGGGGCAGCAAGATCACCGACCTGATGGTCTGCGCAGGCGCCAGCGGCGTCTCCTCCTGCATGGTACCGCCCAGGGGCTCGACCCAATCCCGTCCCTCCCGGCCTGGGTGGGGCTCAGGGATGCCCAGGCCTGGTCTCAGGCAGGAGACAGGAAGCGGAAGTCGAAGGCAGGGTCTCCTTGGGCAAGTAGTCAGGAAGCAGGGCTCCTGGGGGACCCTTGGTCTAAGTGGAGGGCTGTCAGAGGAAGGTCCTTAGGTCCAGAGCCACCATGAAAAATCCCATACTATCCGTCTAATAAGCGAACGGCACCTCTTGGAGTGTGCAACATGAACAGGATAGGGAGGCCTCGTCATCGCAGAGGATGAACATGGCCCTTTCTCCTTCCCGGTGGCCCCGGCCGGTCCCACTGAAGCTCTTTCCGTCAGTCAAAGCAGTAATGAGAGTCCACTAAGGATCTGAGTATCTGGGTGGAGCAAACGGTTAATCCACTCAGCAGCTAACTGAAGGGTTGACGGTTTGAGTGCACGCACGGCTCTGGACGAAAGGTTTAGCCATCTACTTACAAGCAAATTCAGCCCCAACACCCCAGAGAACAGTTCTCCTCTGGCCACAGGGTCACCGTGAGTTGGAATCAACTCACTGACAACTGTTTGTTACTGGGGGAACCCAGAGCACGAGCTGTGGATGTTTCCTTCACGATATTTCCAGTCTGAGGATAGAGTGTCCAGGGGCCCCTGAGGCCAGGCCAGCTCCAAGACTTCTCTCCTTTCCGGTGCAGGGTGACTCTGGTGGCCCCCTGGTCTGTCAGAAAAATGGCGCCTGGACCCTGGTGGGCATCGTGTCCTGGGGCAGCGGCACTTGCTCCACCGCCAGCCCTGGTGTGTACGCCCGCGTCACCAAGCTCATGCCCTGGGTGCAGGAGATCCTGGCCGCCAACTGAGGCTCCTAAAGACCTTCACAAACCTCAATAAACCTGTGCACCGATGCTCGCTTGCTTGTGGTGTGTGTGTCGGCCCGCGCCTCTCTCTGCTCCTACACAGCCCTTGCCTGGGCTGGATCAGGCAAACCATGGGGGTCTCTAGGCCCCTTCCTTCCCCACCACCTAGCTCCAGTTCGCAGAGCGGCCAGGAGGACCACGGGAGAGATAATGGGGTGCAGGAAGACCTGTGTAGGGCCCTCACAGGGAGCCACACGCTTGTGTCTCTGCGAATTCTCCCAGGAGGGGCTCACATCAGTGCCATGATAAGGGATGACGAAGCTGACTGTGGTTGGTGGGCTGGGGATCCATCAGGGGCCATTAGGCAGGCCCACACCATCGCCCAGCCACACACCACGTCCTTTCTCTGCTTCCCCCTTGCTTTTCTCTCTTTGTAATCCGCTTCCAAAGTGCTGGGTTCTGGGGGGGGGCTGGTGGGTGGACCTCCCAGGAGCAGAGAGGTCCCAGGCCTCAGGCGGTTGCACTTTACAGGGCACCTTGTGGGTCCTCCATGTCTCTCACCCTCAACATCACCCCTCACACACACCCCAGCTGGCCCTAGCTGCTCCCATGATTCACACCCATGATTCATGCAAAGCCCTAGGAGCACCTCACACTCAACTTCACATACCTGGATCCCCTCCTGTCTCCTCCATCTTTTCACCCATCCCCAGCTCCTTCAACCTCAAAATCCCCCACCAAGGCCTGTGGATTCTGTCTCCTCCATCCTTGGACTTGGGCAGCCTCCCAGGTTTATGTCCTCCAGATGGGGCAATACCCTCACTCCTGGTGGCTCATGGGAGCATCAGGGGCCTTCAACAGCAGAAGATCCCAGGCCCCGAGATCAGGAATCCTGAGCATAGGGCATGTCCACTCTGGGCCCCTGGCCCCAGGCCCCTCTGCTGCACCTGCTGAGCAGGTGGGTGGGGTTCAATGAGACAAAGCTCCCTGCACAGCAGAGGCCTGAAAGTCCCTGCCTCCTGGGATACCATCCACCCATCAGCCACCCTGGTCCCTGCTATCCATCTTGCACTGAGTGCCTGCCCAGGATCCTCAATGGGGAGAACCCATGGAGGAGGTGGCTGGGAGCACCACTCCTAGTAATTAAGCTCCCTTGACAATAGGGTGACTTTGGTTTAGATTATAAACTAGTTTAGGCTTCTTGTGTGGTACTGTAGGACTAGCACCAGATTGCGAACCACAAGATCAGTGGTTCAAACCCACCAAACAGTCCTTGGAAACCCTGTACAGGGTCATGGTCACTGTGAGTCGGAATTGAATGGACTGGCTCCTAACATCAGAACCAGGTCACATGCCGTGTTCCTACCGGTCTGGTCCTCATCTGTCCAGTTGCGTCAGCGCCCCCCCCCCCCCCCCCGGAGATTGAGTCCCCTTCCAGGTCTCTCTGTACCACCATGGGCTGGGACTCTGGGGCCGTGTAGGAGCAGATCGAATGAGAAAGCCACCCCACACCTGCACTGGGGGTCAGGGAGCGGGAGCATCGTCCTTGCTGACCTGTGAGGAATGGGTGGGACTGGGCTACCAAGGTCAGACCCGTTTGGGGCTCCAGGTTCATTCACCTGGGCCTCCACCCATCCAGGCTGGTCCCTCATTCTCTTCCCAGTGGGAGGGACCCAGAAGCCAGGCCTGGTGGCTTCTGCACCAGCTCCAAGCACATAAGTGCCCCCTTGCCCCAGGAGAGAAGACCCCCCTGCCCACCCCCATCACAGCCGCCAGGGCAAGGCGGGGCAGTTTGCTGTTTTACTGACCTCAGTAGCTTAGTGCCAGGTGTGAGGTGTAAGAGGAAATGCAGCCTCAGAATGTGCTTTAGGAAATGGAGGGGATGGTGCCGAGCCCAGGTGCCAATGATCTGCCCTCAGGAGGAGGGGGTAGGTAGGTGTCAGGCCTTGACCCCATCCCTTGTCCCTCTGGCTGTCAAGACTACTGGAAGCTGCGCTCCCCACCCCCAGCCAATGAGGGCTGCCAGTAGTGTGGAAACAAGACCACTGAGGTGATGCTCTGGCCTGGGGCCTCCCTGGCCCATCCCAGCTCGCCACCAGCCCCTTCCCCAGATGCCTGGGCAGAAGCCAGGACTCTGGACTGAGGGAGGGCTTCCATGGACGGTCCAGCAGCACCCCAGCCCCCTCTACAGACATTGTGCAGGTCAGGAGGTAAGCCCCCATCTCCCTGGTCCCTGCAGGAGTAGATGCCACACAGAGTGGGCCCTCCTGCCCCCCATCATTCCTCTGTACCCCCAGCCCAACCCCCTACCGCGTCAGGGAGCACTAAGACAATCCCAGTGATGCTGGAAGCCCCCTAGTCTACCAGGACTGGGCCTGGACCCTGGCGGGCACTGTCCTAGAGCAGTGAGCAGTGCCCACCCCTTTTGCCCTGGTGCGTGCATCCCATTGACACCTGAGAGCAAGTGGCTGCTCCTCCGCACCTGTGTCCTCACTGGGGTAGGGAGGGCACCAGGTGATGTGTGGGAGGGTCGGGGGGAGCCCCTTGTGGACTTCGGAGACAAGCCATTGACAGATGACCTAGCCCACCCCCATTCTTTCTATACATGGGAGCATACAGAGCAGGGTCAGGCCTGCAGCAGCACTGCTGAGGATCCCCCGCCCCCCGCGGATCTCCAGCAAAAACACATTTAACTGCAGCTGAAATGCTGAGTTCCAGGCGGGCTGCTCCTTTGACGAGCACCCTCCAGAATTCCTCCAGACTCCCCGCCCATTTCTCTCTCACCCACCAGGAGGCTTCTGTCCATTTCGGAAATTTTATTGAAATGTAGATTATTAGTCGAATGACTGAAAAATCAATAATGAAAAATAGTTCTTTAGGGTTTTCTCCTGGTGCAGAGAGGAATACACCAAACTGCACCTTCCCTGTCAGGGGACACGGCCCCATCTCCCCCATTCAGGTTCCCCGCCTGAAAGCAGTGCCCAGGGAGACCAGCAGTGCCTCTCCTGGGCTTGGTTCCTGGAGACCAGCTCTGCGCGGTGTCTGTGCCCACATCCTGCCCCATCATAAATATGTACACAGTGTGGGGCAGTCTGGGGCGCCAGCCCTGGCTGAGCTAGTGTTGTCTGTCTCTAGCCTGAGGCACAGCGACTCTCGGGATGGTGCTGGGGAGGCTCAGACCACTGTGGCCACCCCCTGGTCATCAGTTCTCAGGCAGCTGCCAGCTGGCCCAGGACTCGGCGGAACTGCTGGGTGCTATGACCCAGCTCCTTGACCCTGTCCACCATGTCCTGGGCAGCAGAAGGTGACGGGTACTGCAGGGCAGCGGCCTTGGTAGTGGCCACAATGCCGCGTAGGAGGTCACACAGCAGGTTGCTGTAGCGAGTCACCTGGCTGCGCACGTCAGCCGCCTTGGCCTGTCGCGATAGCGTGTCCCCAATGAACACCAGCTTGTGGGCACTGAGGATGACAAACTTGCTGTGCGCTACGAAGATCTTGGGCGGCTGGTTGGTGGACACAGCAGTGAAGAAGGCGTCCACTGCATTGGTCAGCGTGGTCAGGTTCGCCTCGCACTGCTCCAGGTAGAAGAGCAGCAGCTGCCGGTCTGAGGGCCCCAGGCCACCTGTCCGCCCTGGGACTATGGGCTGGGAGGCTGTCCAGTTGGCCAGGTCGTGATCGATGGGCCGAGACACTTCCTGCTCCAGTCGCTCAAACTGCTTTAGCTGCAGGAACACAGGAAAGCGGGAGAAGGTCAGAAGCCAGAGGCAGAGCGCCTTTTCCTCAGGGCAACTGGTAACCCCTGCACTGTGGCTGAGAACACAGATTGTGATCAGCCCTCTAGACTCTTTCCTTACTAACCAACAACCTCCCGCCAGTCTCATACGATCACACACTACAATTACTATACTGGAATAACATTCATTAAAAGGAAAACATCAAAGAGAAGAAAAACAAATGACTGGTGGCCAGTTGTCGCTCTAGTGCTGATTTTAACTTGTGGTGACCCCACATATGTCGGTGCAGAGCTCTACTCTAGAGGGTTTTTAAGAGCTGATGTTTGGATGCAGGCCGTCAGACCGTCCTTCTGCGGCACTTCTGGATGGACCTGAAGCACTAACCTTTCAGAAAGCAATAACAATTTGTACCATCCAGGAAAGATGGGAATTTCCGTGTTTAGATACTGTCTGTGCTACATGGACTTAAGATGGAGTCATGGGGCAAACCGGGTGAGAGGTCCACAAGAGGAAACTCAATTTCTTGTGAATCTATATATTTCCCAAAATGAAAAGTTAAAAAAGAAATTTTTAAGTTATTTTCAAAAGGAACTTAAAAGTAATTATGTTGCTGTGGTTAACTGCCATCTAGGTGATTCCAACTCACAGCAACCCCATACCAGGATCCCAAGGAGTGGATTGTGGGTTTGAATTGGCAATCTTACAAGTACCAACCCAGGGCTTATCCTACAGCGCCACACCAAGCCTCCAGTAATGTGGTGGTGTGTGCCAGCGAATTGGTTTCAACTCATAGCAAACTTGTACAGAGTTTCCAAAGCTATAAATCTTTGCAGGCGTAGAAATCCTTATCTTTCTTCAGCGGAGTGACTAGTGGGCTCAAAGTTGGCAGTCCAGTGATTACCCTATGGAGCCACCCCACTCCGCCCCAAGAGTAATATGATATTACTGAGTGTTGTCAAGTCAATTCTGAATCAAAGTAACTCTGTATAGGGTTTCCGAGGAGCAGCTGGTGGGTCTGAAGAGTCCATCTTGTGGTCCACACCAGCTTTGCGGTGTAGTGCACCATCCTTCATTGCCACACCGGGACTCTGAAGAGTTATTATTTGTTGTTGTTGCTGTTGTTAAGTGCCGTCAAGTCAGTTCTGACTCATATTGACACCGTATATGGTGTTTCCTAGGAGCGGCTAGCGAGTTTCAACCTCCAGCCTTGCAGCTCAAACCGACCTTGTGGTCCAGTGTTTTATCTCACAGGACGACACCAGGACTCTGAGTAATACAGACATCTTACAAAAAGATTCCCATAGATCAAAGCAGAAAAAATACAAAAATAACTTGTAACTCCCAGAAATAACTTCTGTTAAAGTTCTTGTATGTTACCCTTCCCAGCTATACACTAAAAGTATTCACAGATGATACAATGTCTCAATCTGCTTCAAAAGAACTGCTGAGGGGAAGTTAGTTGGCACAAGATTGGGTGTTGTACTAGTAATGGTTGAAGATGAGTGAGAAGGTCACTGGGGGGTCATCTTACAACTTTCTCCTGTTTTATAGATGCATGCAAGTTTCTATAACAAACATTTTAAACAAAGGGAAAATAAATTATTCAGATTAGAAACTCACATACACACAAAAATGTGAAGACCAGTCTTCAAGACATTTGTAAAAAGGTTACTCCTTCCCAACAATGAAAACAAGCCAGACAAAGCACTGTGTGGCCTACTTTATCACCAAACACTAGGTCTTTAATTTTTCCATGTCAGGGAATATTTATAAAAGCATTTAGCAAAGAAAAGTTTCCATTAACACAGCCACTGCTGAAGAAAACCTAGACAAAGTCTATGTTCTCACTACAGCTGGTTCGAACCAGGGGAGTGAACAGCAGTGACCAGCTGTGCCCAAACGTGGGGACAGACTCATTTAGGTCTGCCCAAGTACAAGCTTTCAACCCTCAATTAGACAAACCATAGCCTCTAACACTTAAAGCCTCGGATTCTGCTGCTTAGACAGCTACTTCTTTCTCCAAGAAAGACTTGTCTGTTCTAATGTCAGTCCACCATACTTTCAGTACTCTTCATCAACACCATCCCTCAAATGCATCGAATCTTCTCCAGACGTCCGTATTCACTGTCCAAGATTCACATGCTCCAGGTAACTATATCTTAGTCCTCAAACTGACATATTTGCTCTTGAACACTTTAACCGGGTCTTTTGAGCAGATTTAACGCAATATATGGACTGATTTCTCGGCTGCTGCTTCCAGGAATGCTGACTGTGGATTCAAGCCAAGTGAAACCTTTGACAACTTCAGTCTTTTTTCCATTTATCATGAGGCTATTTATTGGTCTGGTTGTGAGAATTTTCGTTCATTATTAAGTCTGTTGTCTATGAACTTTATCCATAAATACGTCAAGTCCTCTTCCCTTCCAGCAAGCATGGTTGTATCATCTGCATACTGAAGGTTGTTAATGAGTTTTCATGCAATCTTAATTCCACGTCCTTCTTCATATTAGCCACCTTTTTGGATCTTTTGTTGATTTCCTTTTCTAGGGACTGGTCCTTCCTGAAAATCTGTCCAAAGTATGACAGACCACGTCCGGTCATCTTGGTTTCTAAACATCAATCTGGCTGTGTTTCCTCCAAAACAGGCAGTCCATGGGGACTTTACTATTCTTCTCCAACACCACAACTCAAATGCATCAAGTTTTCTACAGTCTTCCATATTTGTTGTCCAACTTTCACATGCATATAAGGTTACTGAAAATACCATGGCTTGGTCAGACACAATTTAGTCCTCAAACTATTATCTTTGCTCTTGAACACTTTCAAGCGGTCTTTACAGCAGATTTGCCTAACGCAGTATGTCATTTGATGGCTGGACTGCTGCTTCCATGAGCGTTGATGAAGTTTTTCACAACTTCATTCTTTTCTCCAAGAAGTTATTTGCAGTGAAGAAGTCACTGATTTTGCAAAATTCTATCATATGATCGTCAGCATAATTTCTATCACCAAAGCCTTATTTTTTCAACTACTGATCCTTCCTCTTTGTTTCCAGCTCTTTTTGCTCAGCAGACAGACTGAATTAAGTGAAAAGATACAACCCCGTGCACACCTTTCCTGATTTTAAACCATGCAGGGTCCCCTAGTTCTGTTCTAATGACTGACTCTTGGTCTACATACAGGTTCCTCATGAGCACATTTAAATGTTCTGGAATTCCCATTCTTGGCAATGTTATCCATACGTTGTTATGATCCACACAGTCAAATGTTTTTGCATAATCCATTAAGCCCAAGTAACTATCTTTCTGATATTCTCCTCTGCCTTCAGTCACACTCCAGTGATATCCCTTGTCCTAGGTCCTCTTTTGAATCCAGCTTGAGTTTCTGGTAGCTCCTGTAGACACACTGCTGCAACCATTTTGAATAATCTCTAGCACAATTTTACTTGCATGTCATATTAAAGATATTGTCTGATGACTTCTGCATTCTGTTGGGTCACAAATGTGGATCTCTTTCATTCAGGTAGTCAGGTAAAATTTTTAATTTCTAGCATAAATTCCTTTATTGAGGAAGGTTTCCTCACTTTCTGAGCACTTTTCTTCCTTAAATTAATTTACTCTGCAATTCTGTGAGACGGACTGCTTCTTCACAGGTGGGGAGACGCATGGAACCTGGAAGCTCCTGGTGCCATTGGAAGGGGGGCCCTATGGGTGACATCTTTGTTTACTTAGTGGGATTTCTACATTCTAGCTCTATCATCTCCATCATCAGAATGAACACTCTCTTGATGTTTAGAGAAAGGATCCCTAGTGGTGCAGTGGGTTAAGTGCTGGGCTACAAACTGAAAGGTTATTGTTGTTATTAAGTGCTGTCAAGTCGGTTTTGACTCATCGTGACCCTCAAGTGTCACTGAGGTGGTTTTGACTCACAGCAAAGCTATATAGTGTTTCCAAGGAGCAGCTGGTGGGTTTGAACTGCCGACACTGTGGTTTGCAGTCAAGCGCTGATCCCACAGCGCCACACCCGGTGACTGGAAACAATTAGCTGCTCCACAAGAGAAAGATGTGACAATCTGCTTCCACCAAGATTTACAGGCTAGCAAAGGCTGTGGGGAAGGTCTGCGATCCTACAGAGCAGCTATGGGTTGGAATCCACTCCACTTGTATTGACAGAAAATGTATGCACATACAGACAACATGTATTGTTGACGAGAAGAAGAAATGGCTACAATGTAAACATCTCACAACAGTGGATGTTAGGGAGCCTTTAACAAAGCTGTACTGAGCATGCTCAATGCCATGGGATACCACCTGAGCTACAAGCAGAGTAACTGCTTACAAAGCACCATGCAAAGTGGCAGGGAGGGGTCTGGAGAGGAGGGGCAGGGATAGAGGTAAACTCACCCCTTTGTACACTCTTCTGTCTACAGTGATCCTTCTAATAAATAATGAAAATCAACCAGACAGAAAGACAGAGAGGGCCATGAGGTGGAAGTGTGGGTCCTTGGGTCCGGGGCCTGGGGGCTGACTGGGTTCCCACAGAGACGTGAAGACAGACAGGGTGGCCTGACCTGCTGCAGCTCCAGAAGGCCCTTCCCCTGCCTCATGATGCTGTCCTTCTCCAGGAGCGCCTTCTGTGTCTTCTCAAACTCCTCCTTCCCCTGGGGGAGAAACAAGTGAGGGCAGAGCCAGGCCTTCCCTTGAGAAGCTGAAGCCAGTCTGGGTCTGCACAGTGACGGCATGTGGCCACCAGGTGGTGCTGCACCCACACACCGGCAACCAGGCCTGGGTGAGGGCATTCATGTTGATGTCCATGCCACGTGGCCTTGGTCAGCCTTCCCCCCTAAACAAACCCAATGCCATCAAGTTGATTGCAACTCAGTGAGCGACCCTACAGGATTGAGACGAACTGCTCCTCGGGGTTTCTGAGCTGAAGCACTACAAGAGCAGACAGCCTTGTCTTTCTCCCACAGAGCCACTGGTGGGTTCAAACCACCAACCTTGTGGCTAGAAGGCCCACAGCTAAGCCACTGCAACACCAGGAACCCTTCCAGTCCTCTCTGCCAAGGCTCTACTCCAAACCTCTGCCCTCCATACCAGGGCTGGTCTCCGGGGTCTGCTGCACCCAAGCCCATCCCACCTTCCCACCGCCCATGCCAGAAATGGCCTGTCCACTCGGAGTGTCTTCTGTGAGAGGTGCTCAGGAGCTAGCTCTGCCGCACCAAGAAAAGGAGGGATGGCCTGGGAGGTGAGAAAGAGAGGAAGGTGTAGGACTCACCCACCCACCCAGCACCTGAGGCCCCAAGATGGAGGGGTACCCACCTGCAGGTGGACATAGTCGTAATCCTCCATCCAGCCGCCCTCACTGTTCTCATACTGCCCGTCTGGCGAGTCCTGGGAGGTAAACTTCGGGGGTGAGGGCAGAGGCCGTGACTGAATGCTACACGCCTTGTCAGTAGGGTTGGCATGCGGGGCGCCACCCCCCTCAGGCCCTGTGGCTGGGGCCTTGGTCCTTCTGAAGAGTAGCGAGGCATTGCCATGTAAGAAGGAGGCCAGCTGCTTGGCGTCCTCGGGCACGGCCCGGGAGCAAGTCACTAGGCGGTCCAGGTCCTCGGCAGTGGCCCCCGGGCCTCCCCGGCTGCTGTCTAGGGCCTGGCCATGTACCACGAGCGCCTGGTGCACGTCCTCCATTTTCTGCAGTTGCCGACTGAGCTTGGCGTTCAGTGTACGGTCGGAAGTGTGGGCAGCGTTGCCGATGGCACTGCGGGCAAACTCCAGCAGCTCATGTACAGCCCCCTGGACGGCGGCCACAGCAGCCCGCAGGTCCTGCCCAGGGGGGTCCTGAGGCTCAGAGGTGCTGCGCCAGCTCCCGGCCCCCACCAGGTCAAGAAGGTGGGCCACGGTGGTGCTCACACCCTGCTGCAGGCGGCCCAGGGCTTCCACAGCCATCTCCAGCTCCAGGGGTTCCCGGCCCGGCCCTGCCACCTCCAGGGAGGATGCTGACTGGCTGCTGCGTGTACTGCCCGTGCTCGAAGCCGACAGGCGCTTAGCATCTGCTGGGGCCTCACGGTCTGCTGTGGGGGGCACTGCGTACACACCATCATCGGGCTTGATGCCATTGGTCACCTCGGGTGGGAGCACCCGCTCACGAGGGATGTCATAGAGGGTGCTGGGGCCAGGCCTTCGCAGGCCAGGGGGCACGTCATAGAGGTCAGGAGCAGGTGGGGGCACGTCATACACATCGTCAGGCGGCGGCGACTCCAGTGGGGGTGCAGTAAGAACTAGAGGGTGGCGGGCCGGGTCGAAGGGTTTGACCTTGGCGAAGGCCGGGGGCACATCGTACGTCTCTTCACGCAGCAGTGCCCCGTCAGGCACATCTTTGCCCACAGATGGAGGGACATCGTACACCTGGGGGGCCAAGCGGTGGTCACCATTACCACTCACCACAACGAGCCCACCATAATCAGCACCGCCACCAGCACTACTGCTGTCATTACCAACACTGTCACCGCTGTTGTTACCGTCACTAACACCATCCCATCACCATTGTCACCGCTGTCGTATAAGCACTGGACTGCTAACCACAAGGGTGGTGGTTCAAACCCACCAGCCACTCCTCAGAAACCCTATCCAGGGTCACTATCAGTTGGAACTGATTTAACAGCACTTTGTAACAAAAGCATCACCACTGTCACCATCCTCATCATCACTGTCTCATTACTGTGGACACTACAGTCACCATCGTCACCACCGTCAGCAGCACCATCATCTATCTCACTCTCACCAACATGACCATCCCCACCGTGACTACCAGCATCACTTGAGGAAGGGACAGAGCTGTGGACAGGGCACTGCACTACAGCCACAGTAACCTTGGCCCCATTTGCCCATGACAGTCCTGCTTGGTGTCAGCTGTCCCCACACAATGATCAGTAGTGCCCCTTTCACTCTATGGCATCTGCTGCTCACCAGATGGTGGCTAGAAGGTAGCAGGCTCTTCTCCACACTGGGGGGCACATCATACACGTCCAGCGATGGATCCCGGCCATTGGGGCCCTTGATGGCCATGGGGGGCGTGTCATACACCTGTAAGTAGACAAAGTGCAATGCCACAGGTGCCAAGGCCGCAGGGGTGGAATGAGAAGAATGCACCCATTAGTACTCATCCCAGGAACCCAAACTGTCCACCAGCCCTGTCAAGGTCAGCTCTTTGATCAAGGGCTAGACAGAGGCTCCGGCAGGCATTTCTGCATCCCTACCCTGACCACCTACCTCTTGGCCATACTGGCTAGGAAGCAGTCCTCGAACAGGGGGCACATCATAGATATCCTGGGGTCCTGGGGCCAACAGGTGACGTGGGATGTCATACTCATCCTGCTCGGGTTGAGCGGACTCATACACATAGCCCTGCCCCACGCGGGTGGGCACCACCACCTGGGGGTACAGACAGTCAGCTATCACCAGGCATCCTCATACAGCCCAAGGACTGAAGGCAAGCCCTCAGGAGCCCCTCAGCCCTGGAGTCAGCCTCTCTGAGGTGGGCACAGCACACACTGCTAATGGGGAGGGGATCAAGGAGGGTCCATAACGAGGAAGGGACGAGCAGGGTGAGGGGCCAAGGCCCGGTGAGACTTGGTGGCCAGGGAACAAATGCTTGACGTGAGGAGGCACTGCAGGGACAGGCAGAGGTGCAGTTCCAGGATAGACCCTGAGAAGCCCACCCACCCTGTCCTTTCAAGTGGCCTGAAGGAGATTCTAGAGTGTCAGGGCCTGGGACCTCCAGGAAGGCAGTGCTGGTCAGCTGTTAAGTACCTCACCCCACTCTCAAAGGAGCAGCTTAACAGGACAGGATGGGCCCAAAGACCCCCAGAGCTTGGCGTCAGTATTCAGGCAGATGGGGGATGGGTGTGAGAGGTCAAAACTAGAATTAAGATCACTGACCCCCCTACCACTCTCACCCCCAGAGCTGCCACGGGGTGGCCTGGTCACGGTCCTCCCAGAAGATATGGCACTAGTGAAAAGGTGACCATCTGAAAGTGCCAGTCTCCGCTTTCACCTGGGGTTCTTACCCTGGTCTGGGGTCCTGGGTGGCGGGCTCGGACACCCTGGTGCTGTGTAGCAGGTGCGAGCATGGTTGGGGGTGCCTGCTGCGGAGTGCTCATGTCCCCCTCAGAGATCACAGCACCTCACCTAGAACCACGCTGCCCCTCACAGTGGCACGAAGCCTAGAAGGGGTGCTGGCAGCCGAGGCCAGGGAGGACAGGGTGGCCTAGAGAACCTCAGGGAGAGCCGCCCCCATGCACCGCCCCCACCTGGTTACTGGCTCAGCTCTCCTAAGAGAAAGGACTTTTGTTCTCTAATCAGAGGGGACGGGGCGGGACATCTGGGTCAGGGTTGACTTGGGCCCTCCCCACACATCCTGAAGGGCACAGACAACAGCCAGCTCCGCACGCTGCCTGCACCTGTGAGACACCCCAGGAACAGCACGAGTCACCCGCCACCCCAGTCTGGGCACCAGCATTTCCCTGGGGCCTGGCAGAGCCTCTTGCTGATACCCATCCTGCCAGCCCCCTACCAGCCTTCAGCTGGGGTGGGGGAACCCCAGGGGGAGCCCACTGGCCTCTAGCCGGAGTTCCGTCATGAGGCTGCAGGCAGCTCTGTTCCCCCAGTGACTACAAGGGGCCAAGCCTCTCCAGACTCATCCCCTTCTAGAGCCCCAGACTTGAGTCTCCTCCAGAGCTATTTTTAGATGCTAGAACCTGCCAACAGCCGGTGGGCGGGCGTCAGGGGGCTGGCGGGACGTGGCAGGTTGGCCAGGCCTTGAAGGCTTGAGGCCATCCTGGAGGCAGGTGGGATACAGCCCCGGGAAGGGGGTGCCAACCCACTCAGCTGTGCCAGTGTGACCTGACCAGCCAGAGAACCAATGAAACAGGTGACAGCAAGCAGCCATACTGGCCAACAACGTCTCATGCTAAATAAAAACAGAACAGCAAGCCAGCCACCAACAGGGAAAAGCTCATCCAAACAATGAATCTCCTGGGGGCTGCTGAGCCTGCTGACCCCGGCTTCCTGCTTGGTCTGAGGCCCTACCTCTCGGGCTCCACAGACACACCACAGCCTGCTCTATCGTCAGGTCTCCAGGAAAAGCAGCCTTAAGGAGTGGGAGTGAGAAGAGAAGCTGAAGGCTGAAGCTATAGGCTCACAAAATCCCAGGAGGGGCAGGGGCCCAAGAGCTAGAGGGTGGGGGCAACTGGCTGGCCTTCTTGGTCTTAGGCACCCCGACCCACCACCTCTAGGCTGCATGGCTGCTGGTCCCCTCCTCCTTCTACAAAATGGTCCATGTGATCCAGCCCCAATCTGAAGCGGGACCCTCAGGGTCAGATGTTGCTGGGGTACCCACGCACCCCACCACCTGGAAGCCTCAGATCACAGCATTCCCGGATGCACAGGACCATGTGGGAGCCAGCCTCAGCTTCTCATCTAGCGTGTAATTGGGTCTGACCTGGGTCATGGCCAGCGTTCTGTTACAGGAGCCTGAGGAGTCAGGAATGGGCCGTGCCAGGCAGAGGTAGCTGGGCAGAGACACGCTGCTCAGGGTTGACAGGGTGGAATGTGCTGTGTGGTCTCCCTGGCTCCCTAGCGCAGTTACAATTCCTGACCCAGAAGCTCCAAGAGTGACCTTCCACGAGCCCCTTCCCCTCTGTCCCTGGTGTGGCCCTGAGCGCTCTCTCTTAGCCCCTCAGAACACTCATCTCCACATGGCACCCACTCTCCTGGTCACTGGTCATGTCATGTGCTTTCTCAGCTACCCAGGTCCCTCTGAAAGCACTACCTTAAAACGTGGGCAGAGGCAGGTGCCACGATGTGTGTTGCCATACTGCTTGTAATAAAGGCACATGCAACCAGAAACTGCCTTGTGCTTATCATCAGTGGGTGGGGGTACCGCAAAATGACAGCGGGTGGGAGGGAAGAAGTGAGGCTCAGAGAGAAGTTTAAAAATCCAGGAAAATGCTGCTGATGTCTGATGTAGAATTTACAATAGCAAAGTAGAAATGCATGTGGGACAGATGGACAGAAAACACACTGGACAAGTTTGTCCAGACTCCTCAGTGATCACCTCCCCATCAGAGAGTTTCATCTCTGGACCTTTTCATACACTGTGCATTTCCTGTGACAACCAAGTATCATTTTCATGAAATTAAAAGTAGAAGTGGTCAAGGCTGCCCTGGGCAGGAGTCATAAGGACCCAGATCATAGGGTGGTCTGTCTCTTCTGGGCCAGCTTCCCAGCCAAGCTGGGGCTTTGGGGAAACAGGCTCTGGGCAGTTCTCCCAGGGGTCTAACAAAGCGCCCCTCCACACACAGGAGAACAGAACCCATTACCAAAACACAGGCTCAAGCCACGCAGACCCAACCCAAGCGTCTCGCCCCTGCCTCCTGTTAGGAGCGCAGCGGCAGCCACAAGGACAGTCAAGTGGCTGAAAGAGCACAAAGAGCAAGAAATGGAAGAAAGTGACCCAGAGTGCCCTGAAGGTCAAGTATGGGGACCAGAGTCCATGTAGCAGCACCCTCTTGGCCTTCAGTGTCCACTGGCCAGGTCTCCCGTGGGCAGGGACAGGCTCAGTGCTGTGAAAGAGAATCCACTGCCCACTGTGTTCCCGGACTGGACATGGAGCAAACACCAGGCTCAGGACCTGGAAAGAGGTTGCAGTGGAACCTGGGCCACTTCTCCTAGGGGCTGCTACACAAACTGAGGCCCCCCTGAGGAGTAACGTGCCTGGAACTTCACTGTCACAGGCAGCTGGTGGTGGTGTGGGGTTGGCTATGAGGGCCTCCTAGCTGCAGCCATGAGAAATCAGGCTTAAAGGAGACAAGGAGAGTTGAGTGCGGCAACCCTGTGCTCAAAGTCCATGGGACATCAGCAGCTCTATGCTGGGCCTTAGGACCAGGAAGACAGAGGCCAAAGGGGAGAGAAGGCTGCTCCTGACTCAGCCCTGTGCCTCCCTCTGCAGACGTGCCTCCTCCCTATAGGAAGACAGACTGGGGGGGGGGGGGGCAGCATCTGCGGGGACGACAGTCCATTGAGGGCTTGGGACAAGTGTCTCATTCAGGTGCCTTTTCTCTGGCAATTCCACAGGCAGAATTCTCCTCATGGCCCCAAAGCCCAGACAAGGTGCTCTACAGAGGCAGCTGTGGGCCCACCCACCCACCTGGAAGTGGTGTTTAACACTCCCACCTAAGGGAACTTCAGGGAAGTCCCATGGACTGCACGCCCACCAGGATTAGCAACTAGTTGAGAGTCCCTTCGTAGCCTCTGTTCCTTCTTCTTTATGACGTGTAGCTACGGGAGTACCTAGCTGGCCAAAAGGCAGGTCTGATGGCTGGAGCTCAGGCAGTCATCCTGCAGGTGCCATGCAACCAGACTGACTGCCCACCTCCAAACTTTGCTTTCTGGCTTAAGCAACACACCATCCACAATACTTGATTACCCTCCCTCAAGGGTGCCCTGAGCCCACCCCCTCCCTCCCTTTCCTAGGGGATCCCTGCTTCAGACTTGGCCCTTCGGTGGTCCAGTGGCTTCTCTGATCTGTGTCCAGAACGATTTTACTAAGATGTGGATCTGGACAGGTCTCTTACATGTACAGTCCTCTGCCCCCAGCCTGTTGATCCACTCTCTTTTGCCAAGCCCCATGTACCCACCTCAACACACACACTTCTCCACACCCACACCAGGCAACCATACCTTTGCTGGTGGCTTTGTCCCCTCCCTGCGCGCATCCATGGATGGGGGGACCTGGTAGATATCATGTCCCATTCCAGCTGAAGGAGGCACCTGGTAAATATCCTGGGCGGGGCTGCTGGGTCCTGGGGGCACCTGGTAGATGTCTGGGGTTGGACTGGGAAATGGGTGATGGGGTGTTTGCTTTGAGAACGTGGACGTCTGCTTGGCTGGAGGTGACTGGAACTGTGGGCTGGGCCCAGGAGCTTGGTACAGGCCATGCTGAGCCTTGCCCGGGGTGGGCACCAGGTAAACACTCTCCGGCGAGGACTGGTAAGCAGCAGGCAGCATAGATGTGTACTGAGAGGCTGGTGCCAGTGCAGGAGTATGGAGGCCAGGCTGCACTGGGGTGGTGGGCAGGCCAGGGCCAGACCCGACTGGCTTCTTGTCATACATGCCCACGAGGATCTTGAGGCGGTTCCCGGGCACAATGCCTTGGCGTCCGTGCAGAGAGCAGAGCCACCAGCCTTCCAGGCCCTGTGTGTCCCGCTCCAACACCGTCATGATGTCGCCCTTGCGGAAGGACAGCTCATCCGGGGACTCAGCCACATTGTCATAGAGGGCTTTGGCCAGCACATTCTGGAGAAAGAGCAAACAGGAGGGTATTAGGGCAGGAACACGTGTTGGGTGGGCTTGGCGGCAGGCTTTAGCTTGGTCACAGCACCTCTCTCCCCCCCCACAGTAGAGAGGACACTCAGGAGGACCTTAAGAACCACTTGTCAAGGTATACACAGCGTGGACCAGCATCAGGAGAGCAAGAAAACACGTGACTACCTTGAGAGACCCACAAACAGCAGTGGGTAAAAGTCAACAGCTTCTTCAGACAAAAGTGCTGAAAAAAGAAAAAAAGGAACTTGCTTAACTTGAAAAGCCCATCCACCAAAAAACAAACCATTCGTTAGAAAGAAACTTCGAAAATATTCTCTATGCTCCACCTCACACAGTCCTGTTGCCTTGGCCTATGCAATTAGCCAAAAACAAAACAAGAGAGACACAGACAGAGAAAGACAGGCACAAAGTGGCCATCATTTGTAGACCACATGATCATCAACATAGAAAATTCAACAAACTAGAGAATGAGTAACTGCTGGAGAATACCATAGAAAAGATGTTACACATAACAAGAGAGGCAAGGCATTGGAGAATTAATGAGACAAAGACTGCGTGGGACGCAGAGGGGAAAACATCTTACAGCTCTCTAATGGTTTGAACCACAAAGTTGGCGGTTCAAGCTCACCAGCCACTCCTTGGAAACCCTGTACAGGGTTGCTATGAGTTGAAACCCAACTTGACAGCACTTAACAACAACATGGGTCGATGAGTGGGAAAATGTACCATACTCATGGAGGGATGACTTAGCTCTGTAAAGAGTCGCCTACTAATCCTCTCACTACGACTACACTCAGAAATGCCCACAAGATTTGAAGAACTGGACAAGATCACTTCTAGAATGAAACAGAAGAAGCGAAGTCCATGAATAAGCAGGTCAAACCTACAAAGCCAAAGGCGAGGGAGCAGGGTGAGGCATAGGAAGAGGTGCAGAGACTATGAACACACGGCTCTCTGTGGGAAGTGGGATGACAAAGCCAATAGTTCAGGGTCACAGAGGACGCTGGGGAATCTCAGGACACATCACTCTCCACACTTCCCATTATAAACAACGGGCAACCAGAGACTTGCATGTGAACACAGAACTCTACAAGGAATGAAGGAAAAAGTTAGAGGGAGAGTATTTTTGTAACTCGAGGCATGGGAATATTACTGAAGAAAATCCCCAAAGCCAAAAAAGGCCCCAAAAGCACAAATCATAAAGTGACAGTCACAAAGACGATGGATTTGATTCTGTACCAGTGAAGAATGCCAGACTAAGTTGACGGAAGGATGCAGATTATAAAAGGAAGAAAGAGGGATCAATACAGCATTCAAGGGAATCAGAAAGGAGACAAGAACACCAACAGAAAACCCAACAAAAGATGAAGAGTTGAGTCCCAGGAAGGCCACCATGAGGGGACTGACCCCAGTGACCCAGAGGAGCCCAGGAGGGCATACACCATGCCTGGGGGGCTTGCTCCTCCCAGCCTGAGGCCACCTGGTTTCCCTGCAGGGCCCGGGTCTCAGCTACCAGTTCCTCAGCTAAAAAGTAAGCGATGGATCTCCAGCCCAGAGCCTATGTGAATGTCTTAGAGATCTAGTCCCACAGACACTGATCCGAGGATAGGGTCCAGGCACAAGGCACTGGGATAGGGGTTTGGAGAGGGGGTGGGCAGGGCACTCGGAATAAACAGGGAAAATAAAAAAATAGGACTGAGGGTCGTCCTGAAGTGGCAAAGGGTCCCATGAGTGCTTACTGAGGGACCACAGAGCATGGGTTTTTTCCACTCCCTCTCCATCATCTTCATCTCACCCTACCCCCTCTAGGAAATTGGTTCCCATGAGCAAATGCGCTTGTGGCCCGGGGCCCCTGGAGCAGTGTGGATGGAGGCCGGGGGATTAGAGGCAGCAGCTCACCTAGGAGGTACTGCCCTCTCCATGTTCCCAGCTTCACAATGCCAGGTACCGGCTCAGGCCCACATGGTCACAGAGGCCCCAGGAGGATTCAGGTCAGCAGCCTCCAGCAGAGAGTGTGAGTGAGGTAGGGGAGAGGAGACCAGGGTCCAGGCCAGGGAAGCAGGCCTCTACTGGGTCTCCCAGGGTCTCAGATGCACAGCTTGGTCTGAACCTCTGGTTCGCATCCACTAGCAGTGAACTTCCCCACTTGGGCTTAGTCCTCAGACTGGATCTCCCTGGAATCAAGAGCTGGAATCTGGGCAGGAAGGGTCACACCCCCTCCCTCCATCAGAGACAGGAAGTGGCTGGGGCAAGGCCTCATCCAAGCCCCAGAAAGCTCACCTCCTCCCCCTCCATAGACCTGGAATCAGAATCTCACCCCAGCCAAGTATAATGGAGCCAGGAGACAGGGAGGCACTGGGGAGGGTCCCAGGCAGATAGCAGGCACTCTTGGGTCCAGCACTGGGCACTAGGACCCAGGCACTGTGGATCTATCCCCACCACACTGTACCCACACATGGGGGCTGGGGGTGGGGCTGGGGGCAGAATCCAGGGGCTCACCTCAGCACCATCCTCAACACCTTGTTAATCAACCAAATATCACCAGTAGCAGAGAGGATAATAGTAAGAGTATTTATATTTGGGAAGTAGGGCTTCTCTTGCTTCCTGTTATTCAGAATTTTTCAATTTGTATTTAATTACCATTTCATTTTTTGGGATTGAAAAATGCACATCCGGAAGGCAAAACTGTGGACTAACTCCTAGGGTCACCAGGCCAGAGCCCCAGCAGGGCAGGGGCTGCCCCAGCCCACCAGGCTCACAGCCTCCTCCCCCCACCATTTTTTTTTTTTTTTAGGTTACAAAAAAAAGCCAAGTTCCCAAATATGGTCTGCAGTCGGCCTCTGGGAAACGAGGCGGGACACCAGTCCCCCCCTCCTCCCAGTGACCCCAGAGCACAGAGCCGCCGCCGCCGGGTCCCCCAGCCCTGCCCTGGTGACCACAGGAAGTACCAGCAGACTGAGTCAGAGGAAAATTCCCCTGAGACGAGTCAGAGGGGGTCTGAGGAGCCCACAGAGGGATCGTCTGCCACAGGCCCTGTACACTCAAGGCGGCAGCCCAGGCTGGCAGCATCCAGCCCAAGGCCCCCCAGGCAGGTGGGCACCTGGGGCAAAGGCAGGGAGGCTGGAGCGTTCTGCTGAGGGGAGGGGGCTCCACCCAGGTCCCAGGTGAGAAGAGGGGGCTCAGGCCTCCTTTGAGGTGACCGTCCTAGCCCGCAGCCAAGGCATGAGCTCACTGAGCCAACGGCCAGCTGTGCAGTCTAGGCTGGGCACGTGGCACCAGGGCCTGGCACCAACGGCTCCTCCGCCTGCGTCAGTCCCAGCCCAGAGTCCCCACAGGCGGCTCTCCCTGAGCACTGCTGGTGCCCCCGAGCACGCCAGCTGGCCACACGCCGCCCCTCTGGGCCTCGGCCTAGCCAGCTGCTCCCCAAGGACACAGTGCTCCTTCCTGCCCTCTCCTAGTCACTGAACTGCAGCGAGACAAGGACCAGCCAGCCTCCCTCCTGCTGCTCTGGGAGCCAGGCCAAGTCCCTCTGCTTCTGGGAGTGGCTGAGGTGGGGGGTGAGGGCAGTCCTGGCTTCAGAGAACTGGTCTTCTATAGAACTGCCCCCCAGCCCCAATCATCTGCCCAGGAGTTGTGTGTGGAAGGCCACAGGGCCCCACCCGGAAGGGCCACCCTCTAGCCTTCCCAACCTCCTTGGCTACTGAGCACAACAGGTCCAAGAGGGGCTGGCAAGCTCAGGCCATGCTCTCAGCTCGTGTCCCAGGTACCTCGGAAGCTCTGGCCACCTGTGAGTCCTTCCCCAGAAGTCCCTGTCGTTCCCCCCCTTCCCCCCAGCCACAGTCCTTCCCAAATGTCCTGGCATGCCCAGGAGAGAAGGAGCACAGCCCCAGACCTGGTGCACAGTCAGCAAACTTCCTCAGTGAGTCAATCGGGAGAGGTACAAGGAGCCAGGAATGGAGAAGGGCTGTCCCTCCCTAGGAGCCCACGCTACCTGGGGGCAGCCTAGCATACCCAGGGGAACCCAGGAAGGCGGTCGGGGGGGGGGACAGAGGAGAAGCCTCCACCCTGATGCCAACACATCCCAGGAATCCGCTCCATTAGGCAGCCTGCTCAGAACAACATCCTGGTTGTTGTGTCCTGGAGCCAACCGGGTGCCCTACAGGCCCTGCCGGGCTCTGAGAGTGGCTTCATTGTGTCCCAGGGGCAGTCTGGGTGACACACCTACCCGGTCCAGCAGGCCCTCAGCCGGCGCAGCTGGGGCCTGGGCCACACACTGGTGGGCATGTGTCTGGGGGAGCCATAGCTGTTTGACAGGTATTAAGATCTCTGTCAGCTGCAATGGGGAGTCCTTGACACACTGAAACGCTGGTATTCCCAAACTCCAACTCTGAGGGGTGAGTGCTACCTGCTGGCTGGAGATTGTGAGTAGAGACACACAGAAAGGCCTCCTTCTCTCCAAGATGCCCCCCACTCTGCCTGCACCCTATCGTCTCCAGGCCTTTAGCACCTGTGGTCTCCTAAAATACCCTTCCCCAGCAAGCCTTAAGGGGCATAGCCAGCCAGCCAGCCTAAGCAAGGAGAGCACTCCTCTGCCAGACCAGACCCTGAGCCTGGCCTGCACTCATCTACCACTCAGCAAATCTCTTCTCAGCCCCCACTCAAGCTGACCTAAGGTAGGAACTGGGGACCAAATGGTGTTGGCGAGTGAGAGTCTGGGTGTGGCGTGGCGGTTAATGCGCTGGTCGGCAATGTCAGTTTGACCTGCAAGGTAGGTGGTTCAAGCTCACCAGCCATTCTTGGAAACGGTATCAGGGTTGCTATAGGTGGGAACCAACTGGACAGCACTTAATAACAACCCAGGTCCCTTGGGGGGGTGGGGGGAGACAAGGAAATGGACAATCATGATGTGACTCATGGATTCATAACAACAATGCCCAACACAACTCTACATCAGTGACTGTGCACAGCAT